CAACAACTTTTTAATTTTTTTTGGATAGACAAATTTTATGATATGGGTTCGTTATATACATGTTTAGAGATCAGATATATTTAATTGTACGTCCCAAGACCACTATATTTTAAGAGTAATTTCAATTCATGTCAAGATGTGTAAATGCGCACTCTTAGACAGTTCATTGCACAAGAGTGCGCATTTGAACGCTTATGAGTGCGCATTACATTTTATGAAAAAATATTTGTTTCTAAGGTGAAAATAAATGGGAATAAGTGACTACAGACTACACATAAAACGGGAGACCTATTTCTTCGTACTCTAGGGGTCTTGAAAAGTCGAGAAAACGTAAAAATAGAGAGTCGGTCGACGGACTCGATTACAACACGCTCAGGAAGTAAAAATAAAAAAAAATCACTATAACCACCACCACACAACTTGAAAAGCAGTACAAAGTAGTAGAGTTAAATAATTCATTATCGTATGATATGTATCTCCAATACCTCGCTGCGCAGTCTTGTACATTTGTACATAGTTAAAAGCTTTTGATGGACAGAAAGTATAAAACTGTTAGTGTTTAACGAGACCTTAAAAGTTACAACTAATGAAAATTATTGCTGTAAAATAAAAGAACTGGTACGTACCTTACAAAAAACTACAACTATGAGCGGTAAAAATTACATCCACACAACGTGCGAACATAAAATCGGGAGTACGACCAAACTATAAACTATATTCAGGTCACTTTTGCACCTTTATCTCAGGTTTAGCATTAAATTCTGAATGGTATAACTTCATCTTACCCAGATGGCACTAATAAGCAGAAATCATCACTGCGTACTCTTATACATATTCGCACTCTTGTACACATTTACCCTAATTTAAATTTTCCATACTCGGTAACTGCCTTTAATTCGAACACGCGATATTATGAAAACACATTCTGTCCACTTGTTTTTGTTTGGTCTGACGCGAAGTGCGGAAAAATTGGGTAAATGGTCAAACAATTGGTCCAAAATAATGAATGCATTGGTTAAAGTACAAGGATGTGCGTGCCAGTTTCTAGTGAGTTTTCTCATTGGAAAATGTTTGGCTCAAAATTTCAGGAGGAACACGAATGTCAATTCCAACACGTGCAGTACACGTGCAATGTTAATAATAAAAAATTGGTATAAGGTTATTTAGGCAGAACTTTCCTCGCCTCTGAGGTATAGTGCAATAAATTCCGCTTATTTAAAAACTATAAAATTGTATTTCTTCTTTGATAACCTCTATTAATTAAAAAAATATTGATAATAAGAGTCACAGTTTAAGAAAAACACCCGCATCTGAGCGCTTCTAACCAGCGATCTGCGGGTTACAAGTCGGTGACGCTAGCCTCTGTGCTATTGTAGTATGACTTCAGTGTCACTTATACGAGTATAAAAGGTTATACAATTTGGATTTTTTGCGGAAATTTAGATATCTAGGGTAAAAATTCAAAGCGGATTCAAAAACTACAAGTACAAGATTATGTTATTTTATGAAATTTAAATGGTGTATAGTAAGACAGAAGACAGACGACACTTTTTTGTATTCTAGGAATCATGAAATTAAAGTAGCCATCCGTCGGATGGAGCATATTACAACATTTCCTTTGCTGACGCTCTGGAAGTAAAAATATACCATTTCATCCATACAGTTTTAACATCCAAATTCATGAGATTAAAAGAAGTAAATTTGGTGTATTATTGGAACTACATGGTCTTACAAGCCTTAAACTGCCACTGAGATCTTAACTTTATAGAAAAATTTGGGCCATAGTGAAGAACAGTGTCGCCAAAAATAATATTACTTTTAAACTTGAGCAAACATTTCGACAGAAAAAGAAACTTCCAAAATTAAATTTTATGGAATCTGGAATAGTTATTGACAACAATTATTGAATAATGACTTAATGCGCGTCAATTGGAAGTAACGGTGCCAGAGATAATAATAATAATTAATCTTAATGAAGACACATCAAGTGAAGATGATACTGACTTTGAATCTGGCGTTACAGATATTAAAAGCTCTGAAATTTGCATTCATTATTTCTACTAATAACAAAGCAGTTGTATTATATTTCCTAAATATAGATAAAAAGTTAATACCTTTGTCATTAGTGACTGAATTACGTTTTATTATTTTGTGTTAAAAATCCATTAAATTTTTGATAATATGTAGTTATGTTGGACTATTGGAGTACCCAATTCAGTTGAAAAAATCATCAAGTTGGTGTTGTTTTTTTGACGGAAAAAACGTAGAAAAAAGCGTTTGTGTTTCATTAATCCACACTATTGTCTACAACTGAGTTTCGACAACGTTGTTGAGGAGCGTTTTTTTTATTATATCAAAAAGTGAGGTTAAGTTGTACCATTTCGCGTTGTCAGTCTTCAACAGTTATGCTTTATTTTAGATAAGGCCAACTTAGTGACTTTCTCAATTGAACACCCAATAATTCGTAATTTTCATTCTAGATAATTTCTTAAACAAATCCATTGTAGGTATGTAAAGAATTGCAAATAATAGTGCTCAACATACTTATCATTTATTGAATTTATCCTAACGCAAAAGTCTACCTCCGCTTCAATTCAGTTTACCTAATTTTTCTAAGATTGGCACTACAAAGTTTGAGAGCTCCTTCTCAGGGATCTAGAGTTTAAAAATGGGAAGAAACTGTAAAGGAAAATGAAGAATTTTGGGATCAATTTTGTTGTTCAGCCATTACCTTTATTGTTTATTTAATATTGTGGGGATTTGTTTTAATTAGTATATTAACATATTTGTTTTAATTTAATTTTCAAACTTCTAGGTTTATAGAGAACGTGTTAAGTGGTATTTTTTTTAATAGCTGCTCTCAATGATTTACTGTCTGGATGGATTCCTGAATTTGGAGACATCTTTTCAGTATTGGCAAATTGCTTAGTTCACTGTACTGTAATGCTTGTGATATAAATGTGAAATGTTTCAAAAGAGGTAATTAACCCAACATTTTGACACAAAGAAATATACAGACGCACTAGATCAATCCAGAACAGGAAATTTCTATTTGGATTTACTTCGAGATTTTCCTGCAGCAAATAGTCACATAGCGTTATTTAAGCTCCAAAACCTAGTAATAAGAATTTTGTGACACAACATACAGGCAGACGTATTCTCGATGAGTCCACATTATGCAGGTGTTACATACAAATAGTACACTCTGTAAAGTCAAATATTGGCAACAATTACATATGGGTTTCAGCAAATGAATCAATGCATTTATTGGGACATTGTATTGTCAATATTGTTAAAGAAACATTGCATCCAACAATTCATTATGAACCACATTTAATTGCCTGCCATGTGTCAACATAGTTAGTGACGAAATTATATCTGAAATTATAATAACAGTTTACATTGAATTTATAACAATGTGCAAGACAAATATGGTAAAGTACTGTTTTTTGTTTTTTTATAAATGATGATGCTGCACCACATACGACAAAATCTCTATTATTTAATCTTTGTATGCCTCCTAACAAGTATCATACGTAAAGGAGATAAAAAAGTGTAAGATCTCACAAAAAGTCATTGCCTTTCTCGCATTTACTGATTCGTAGAAACTTTTCGAAACTTAATGTTTATTTCATGAACAACGTTAAGGTATGTAGATGTAACTCTACTGCAGCAGAGTTTACGTACCTATGTGAGAGGTTCTAAAAATCAAGATATATGTTTATAGACAATAGTCTTTACGACTTGTTCGTATGCCACTTCTTTGTATCCAAGATTGATAGTAGTAATATACGAGTGTCTGAATGTTTTCACATACTGAATCAAGATATTTGCAAACGAAGGTGAAAAAATATGGAAACAACACCGTGTTTTATGGACTTCATTGAAGTGAGCTGGTTTTACTATTTTATATTTATTGTACCTAAGTTATAATTTCCAACCGGTCAACCTTCCAAAGCTGAAGATGGTCAAGAAAATAATTTACCAGTCAACTGATTTTGAAATGAAGCAATCTGTCAGTAGTAATTTTTTTTATTAGTAAAAAGGGGGAGTTGAACACGATTCTAAAAAAGCTTAGTTAAAATAAGTGAAAAAAGTGTAACTGAAAATTATTAATTTATAAAAACATAAATATTTATGCTTGAAAATAAAACGCTTTATTTCGGTTCCTTTTCACAAACTAATACAATCCTATCCATGGTCTTCCAATTTTTCTGGCCTCGATAATGTTTAAATGAAGACTGGCAAATCTTAGACTGGATGATCTCACAATGAGAGAAATGGAAAATTGAAAACACGTCATTAGTCATTACATAAACATATGAACACATTGTGGAGAATTGCCAAAAATGATATACATTGACTCAAGGAGTGGCAATATCCGGGAATATTAAAATAAACGAAAACCTTCAAAAAAATATATAAACCAATAAAAAACGAATTTCGGTTAAATCATGTGGGGGAACTAATCATAAAACTGTCTTTATTGTCATTTTGAATTCAGTGCACGTGTAATTTGAAATCACTATTCCATGTCAATAAAATCAAATTGAATATTTAGAATTGAGGGGAGATTGGGTTCCGTTATGATAACGTAAATATATTTGCCTTGTCATTCATATTTGAGTAATGCATTCGCAATGTATAGTTTATTTCCTGGAATATGGAAACCTTGAAACTCGTTAGTTGAAGAGCTAATTTATTAAATCATTAACGTCACTATCAGTGGATTATGGCTTCATTCAATTTTACTGCCGTTTTATATATCTCTCGAAAGTGTTTAGTTTTACGAGTATAACATAATTTTTGTCGATATCAGCGTACGTCGAGATATCTAAAACGACTCATTTTCAAATCACACAAACATTTTCCCAAACTTGTTTAAATAATAAATTATCACATTACACATAAAATATGTCAGTCCAATGTGCTAAGTATTTACAGCAACACATAGAATTGGCTTTATTTTATCAGATTGTTGTTGTTATATTCTTCGTAGTACCTTATTACTATCGGTTTTACGTTTTTCCAAAACAAAAAAAAAGTTTATCTATTTGATCAGGTGCTATAACACGTACGATGATCTAGCAATTTAAAGTGATATAAATATGTACACACACTACCACTGACTGAGTTTGTATTTAAGCGAACGACGTGTGCAAATAGCGTCAGGTATGTCTAAATTTTGCAATAATTAATTTGCTTACGCAATCTCTCATTATGCTGTTTATAGAAATGCCTTGTGGTTCCTGCGTTGGTTATGCCATCGCCATTCTTGCCGTGGTGGTTACCACCCTCATAGCTTACTTTAAATGGACCTACCAGTACTGGGAACGAAAAAAAGTCCCCTACCTAAAACCGAAAATTCCATATGGCAACGGAAGCAGTCCACTTAGGGCCAAAGAGCACACAGGTTTACGATTAGCACGTTTCTATGAAGAAATGAAAGCTAAGGGATGGAAGCACGGAGGACTTTTCTCGATCTTGACCCCTGGATACTTGGTTGTAGATTTAGACTACCTGAAGAATATAATGACAAAGGACTTTCACCATTTCGTAGACAGGGGACTATACTATAACGAAGACGCTGACCCTCTAAGTGCCCATTTGTTCGCCATAGGTGGCGAAAAGTGGCGAAATTTGAGAACTAAAGTCACTCCAACTTTCACTTCCGGGAAAATGAAGATGATGTTCCAAACACTGGTGGACTGTATTCCTAATTTCATAGCAAAAATTGAAGCAGATCGTGTGGCCAGTGCACCGATTGATATTAAAGAGACCCTTGGATGTTTCACTACTGACATAATTGGGTCGTGTGCCTTTGGTTTAGAATTCAATACATTCAAAGACGAAGATTCCCCTTTCAGGCGGTACGGCAGGAAATTTTTTGAGCGTGATAGACTCACAGTGATGAAACAGGTTTTGGCAATCAATTTCCCTAATGTTGCGAAAATGTTCAGTGTGGCGGTGATCCCGAGTGACATTTCTAATTTCTTTGTTAAGCTTGTCAAAGATACGGTTAACTACAGAGAGAAAAACAACTACAGTCGCAAAGATTTCATGCAACTACTAATCGATATCAAAGGTAAAAACCTTGCGAATGAAGGAGGTAACAAGTATGACGGTAAAACATTAACTCTTGATGAAATCGCTGCCCAAAGTTTCGTTTTCTTCATCGCGGGATTTGAAACCTCATCCACGACCATGGCTTTCGCTCTCTATGAGCTTGCGAAACACCAAGATATACAAGATAAGCTCAGAGACGAAATTGATAGTGTTTTGGCCACACATAATGGAGAGATTACTTATGAGAGTATCCAAGACATGAAGTATATGGATCAAGTGATTAGCGAAACCTTAAGGAAATACCCGCCGCTGCCCTTCCTAACCAGAACATGCGTAAAGGATTACAAAATTCCAGATGAAGATGTGGTAATAGAAAAAGGTACTAGGATTTTCATTCCAGTTCTTGGTATTCATCACGATAAGGAATTCTACCCAGATCCAGAGAAATTCGATCCGGAGCGATTTACTGAAGAGAGTAAGAGTAACAGACACCATTATGCCCACATTCCATTTGGCGAGGGACCCAGGGTTTGTATAGGTATGAAAAAACTAAAATTAAGGTTAGGAAGGTTAGAACTGACATTTTGTTGTTGCAGGTGCACGTTTTGGTCTAATGCAGTCAAAAGTGGGGCTGACTACTCTATTGAAACATTACAAATTTACAATCAACAAGAAAACAATACAACCACTCAAAATGAAAGTCTCCTCTATTGTGCTAGCCGCGGATGGAGAAATTTGGCTAAATGCGGAAAAAGTATAAATGAAGCTCTTATTTTAATTATTTTGGCTCAACTCTTGATATTTCCATTTTTCATTTTATTATTCGCTTACAGTTTATACAAAGATATATTTCTTGTTATATTTTTCTTTAAGTATAGAGAAACATTTTAGTCACATTTCACACAACGCAGGCTATGTTTGAAAGGAGACGAAGAGGAATGGCTGTTGATGAAGAGCTATGACTTTTTCAACACCCAGTTTTCCTACACTTCGTTTACACGTACTTATCAATTGTTCGTTGTCATGCAGAGACAACAGGAACAAATGTCAGTAATCTAGTGAATGTTATAATTGTTTTAATAAAGTTATCACATACTGTGTCAATTATTTTAAGTATACTTCAAACAAATATTTGTGTGCTTATTCCTATGTTTAGAAGAACTCGCGGTTTTTCTCATAATCATAATGTCATAGTCATAACTGTAACAAATTACAATGTGGTTGACGTGCGTGACTCGTTTTAGTAATGAGCTGGAATGTGAGATTCCAGGTATAGTTGCTGTGTATGACTGTGAGTTGACTGATCTCCAAGTGGAAATGCTGACAAATTTCTTGATACATTTATTAAGTCATATCGTCCATACCATTTTTAACTAACGAATGTGAATTTCTATAGTTCTTAGGAAAGCAAAAAAGAGTTTGCATTTTTTGCTTCCATGTTTTTATTGGACAGAAAAATCTTCGAAAGTGCACGATCGATTGTTATCAAATTGTATCTGTATTTCAAGAATATCTTGTAGATGGCAAGATGCTAACCAAAATTTGTCTAATCATTCCCATCAACAAAGTGATGACGTCACCTCAAAATCTGCGTGGTAAGGAATATTTAAATTTATAAAATGACATATCAAAATCATGTAATAACATTTTACGAAGTTAATGAAGCACACCCGTTTAAAAAAAAAATTATATCTAGCGTAAACACTCATAAATTTGAAGAGCACTTATTCGGCAAAATTGTAAGATGACGTCACGTTTTGGGAGGGCCATAAAAGAATACACTTTTATTAATGATATATCATGCTTCCTATAATTACAAAACTTCATCAGGATTTTTATATTATCTATCAAAATCTGCTAATCGCACCCACATTTTGGCAACAATTTGCGGCCGGCGCATGTCAACGAATCTTAGATAATCGTTGGAGTTTCACTTCTCGTGCCGTTTTAACTGTTTGTAATAAGGACAAATTGTTGGAGATTTTTATTTTATTACTGATAGTTTGTTGACAACGCTTCCATAGGAGGAGCAGTGGGTCTAAAAAAGGTTTTAGAAAAATTACGAAAATATATTATATTATTATATATTAAGTTACAGATATTTTTACAGCTAGGAACTTGTTACAGACAATTTTAGGCAAATTACGCGAATTTAGAGATAGTAATCATTTTTTACCAAAATTGATTGAAAACTGAATAATGATAATAATTTACCATCGAAACGTCGTAAAGGAAGAGAAATGAATGAGAAGAGACAATTACGAGAAACCTGTTCCAAATTCTTCATTTAATAATTAATCATATACTAATTAAATTATCTCAAATAAAAAACTTAAACAATTTTTATTGCTTCAGGTTTTTAAGTTTTCAATTTTCGCTAAAAAAATAATATTATTATTTTTTTATATACATATATTTAGTTAGGAGATATCTTATCGCTAATACGTAAGTCCTTATTCTTTAAAATATGTTCTACAACGATGTCTTTCCAAATATGTTAAAATTGGTATATATGTAGGCCGTCGAGAGCTTTCTGGTATGTATAGTGACAACGTTCCTTTTGTATACAATAAAATTTTATGATTGTTTAAGCCAGTTAACTTCACAGCGGTTCACCACCACTATAAATTGCAATTTTAAAACCGGACAAGTAGAAGACCAGTAATCTTCTGGTTGAACAATAGCGGCGCATGCCAAACTCGTAGGACACTCAGTGGGTAAACAGCTTAGCCAATCCCTCGTAATGACATTGTAAAATTTTATTGTATATAAATCGAACGTTTTTAGTATACGGCGATGACGGCGGCCGGAGAAAAGCCTGGAAGCGGAAGTCGCGAGTGGGTGCTCCAGATAAGTGTAGAAGCGATGACGGTGTCCGAGCCGTGTTTTCGATTCATAGAGAGAAACGGGTAGGTTTAAATAGAGGATACCGTCGGGAACGAGAATTGTTCAGTTGATTCAATCAGCGAGGAGTCCAGTGAACGAATTCAGTCAAGTTGCGACGGAATTATTTTGTACATAATCGCTGTGTAATCAGTCGTGTAAGTTTGAGTTATGAAGAAATAAATTGTTAAATTTTACCCAGGCCGATTTTAAATTATCGACAATCATAACAATACTTTTGTATACCTTATAGAAAATTTTTAAAATTTTTTAAAGAAAAACAGATAAACCCTGAGATTTTAATTATGGATATCTTTCATAAAGAAGACTAAGGACACATCAAAAACATGTAATGATAAAATAAAGGAATTTAATGGAATCAACATGACAGCGATAAATCAACCATACCTCCATTATATGAAATGAAAAAACTCCATAAAGAGGACTTCCCAATTAGACCAGTACTATGTAACATTAAATCACCAGCAATAAATTGATTAAATTGATTAACAACGTATTGAAGGCAAGAATTAAATTCAAACCTTAGTTTGGACTAAAGAACAGAGAAGCCGTTAAGTAAATAGAAAATTATCAGAAGATGTGAAACTAATACTGTTTGACGTTAATTTACTCACAAGTATCCTCAAAAAGCATGCATAGAACACATTGATTGAGCGGAAATAACAAGACAGAACAAAGAAAATTCTAAGAACAATCTTTCTTTATCTTCCAGAGCAAAATATACAAAGTAAAAGGTGTAAGCATGGAAGTAACTCTTTCTTCAATGGCAGAAATGAATAACGAATACCAGAAAACAGAGAGTTCAAAGAACGAATAATAATCTGGATACATTATGTAGATGACATCTTCTGCATCTGGAAAGAAGAAGAAGAAACAAAATTTGAACAAAATTTTCGATAGATATCAGCATAACAAAGGGACGTAATAGCCTAAAATTGAGAATCTACAGGAAAAAAATAAGTACAGATATCGTCATATTAATAAAAAGTCGTAACATACAGACGTTCAAAAATCACGTCTTTCGACTATTTCTTAAAAGACATAAATAAGACATAAATCAAGAAGGGTCGAACAAAATGATAAAGAATGAAAGAAAGAAGGAACAAAGAAAGGAATATTTTGAAAGGTCTATTGTACCAAAACTATATCAGCTGCCGCAAATATACAAATGTGGTATATCGAATCGTGTTTCCAAGTTCTATAGAATTTGTCATATTCCAAGGATTCGCTTTCCACAAACATTAAATATTCTCGAAAGTTGTACTTTAGATTTTATTTTAATTATTTCGATTGAACTTGGCAGAAGCCTCTAGAGTGTTCAAATGGTTGGTGCTGTGGGAATGATAACGACAGTTAGTATCCACCGGTTTCTCAACCTTTATAGCAACATATTTCTCAACTTAAAAAAATTGATCCAAGTTCATTTAGACAGAACTTCCATCGCTTCTCTGAAAAATTAAGTATAAGATCAGATTTTGCAATGTTTGTTTTAACCTTTATAAAGTAAAAATCGGCGACGGTATATAACACCCTCGCAGTTCCTACACTGCGGGGCGCAAGGCATTGTGCAAATTGCACAAGTACGGGCAATGTAAAATATATTTAAAACAGATAACCAATGGGAAAATGGCCTCTCAGCAGTAATAACAAGCTTCCTTCCAATTCATAAACAAGCACTTGAAATTGATTGTTTGTACATCGGAAGAATGTCCCGTAGAAATTCGTTTGATTTGAATGAGTTTGCCGCCTCAAAGCAGGGGACTAAAATTATTGTTCAGACATAGTCGACCAGAATGTTCTGAAATTGTTATTACAATTTTTATTAAATAATGATAACCCGTTCTTAATTTGATTAATAAAAATTTGTTATGACATTATGAACATACATAATATACAGCAAAAGATAAGAAGAGCAAAAAAAACGCGAGGCCAAGTTTGGCATCGAACGGGAGACATCCGCTTCGCGTTCCGATCTCTTATCCACTAAACCACGATCGGGACATTGTAGGCTAATGGGTAAACTCTTTTTATACTGCGTATATGTTTTTGCGAAAGTTTGGACGCTCAAAAAAAACTCAAAACGAATTCGTACACCACACGTACAGGAGTATATTGTTGTATAACAGTTAGATTTCTTTGAAATGGCGTTATCAAATTGCCGGTGGGGATGATTAGCGTTAAACCAGCTATGATGATAGTTCTAAAAATTTAATTGATACAAAATTTGACAACAATTGGTCCAGCAGTTTCTGAGATTACGTGTTTAACAAAAATGAATACAGACTCCAGACAGACAGACTGACAGACGAAAACGGGAGACTACTTTTTTTGTTCATACTCTAGGGGTTACGAAAAGTCGAAAAACATAAAAGTGATCATTCATTCGATGGACGCGAATACTATACTTCCTTAGCTTACGCTTGGGGAGTAAAAATGATAACTTTGTTTTTAATAATTTCAATGAAGTTTAGAAAGATATCTTCCTCCCTTATCTTGAATTTCATGACCTCGAAGTCTCACATTATATAAAAAATTTTATCACTGTTCTGAAAGTAAAACGTATTGCAGTAACAGACACACTTAATTCAGGAGTTTATAATTGTCGTCATGATCTTAGAAAACCAAAGAATAGCCTTATTGTGGATTTTTAGTAACAACATAAACATTAAACACTAAGAAATCCATCAGAGAAAAACTTAATCCCTCTTTCGAAATAGCCATACCGAATTCGATTACCTTTTTTCGCCAACGAAGATGAATAATCGGCCGTTTTTCCCGAACACTGATAAATGCGTGCCTGCAAAACGAAGAGTAATACACATCAGACTCAACAATCGTTATCATGTTTGATATCGGTGTTTACGTTTCCAGCCCATCTCGGCATTTTGTTTGATGTTTCGCGTCAGTTCCACTTTTTGCAGCAATAAAATGAATGCATGAGATCCATAAACACACAAAACCCTCGCAATTTTTCCGTCACTTTAATACTTTCAAGCGCATATGCATCGTATCGCATCAAATAAAATTCGCTTTAGTAGATTTATGCAACCCATATTACATCTGCGACGTCATAAAAGGCTTCCTAACTTACTCTGCTGAGATGAAATTGCGCAAAAATGTCAGTAAAATCATAAAAAGCTCTAACAAGGTTCCCTCAAAGCGGTATCCTCTTTCGATACTGCTTTCGAATAATGACGAAG